TTACAGAAGTCAACAAATGATAGCTCCTGGGGAGTAGGAGTGATACTGGGGGCTGCAGGGCCTGGGTTAGCCTCTACATCACCAGAGGAACAGAGGAGGACTAGAATAAGGATACGACTAAAGGCTTTAAGAACTGGTCTTCTAGTGCGTTGGGTACATAGAATAAAGGGGGCAGTTCTCCGGGCGTTGTAGAAAAGATTCAGGGCATTATGTACAGAAAAGGATATGGAAGGATATGAGTACAGTTCAGGTAACCCTAAGAGATAGCCAGTTTAGCATTTCATTTTTTGGGGGGAAAATACAGATGAATATATTGATGTCACCTTTTCCTAGAGAGATTTACACGGTTATCGAAACGTCACGCCAGGGTTACGCCAACACCAAACACAGCCCTTATTTTAAGTGTTTCTAAAATCCCCTATGGGATAAATGAATGGTGGAAAAACGATTGGAACCATTTCTTGTTTGACAGCAAGGTTTTATGGGAATTATGACTCATAATGTGGTACTCTATGGGTATTGGGCCACAGCCAGTGTCTCTTTGCTGTTGAGGAGCTTCCATTGGCATGCACATGGCCATGCCTCTTCCTATGTGCTGTGGATGGCTCAGTAATGATCAGGATGATATTGTTTCAGCTACTTCTCTTTCGATTGTGTAGTATTAAAGTTATACTTTTGTCACAAGGTGGAAAGGTGACAGGTTCTAGGTGGGGTATTGAGAGGGCAGCGTGAAGCAGAGGTGACAGGTTCTAGGTGTGGTATTGAGCAGGCAGCAGGAAGCAGAGGTGACAGGTTCTAGGTGTGGTATTGAGCATGCAGCGTGAAGCTGAGGTGACAGGTTCTAGGTGTGGTATTGAGCATGCAGCGTGAAGCTGAGGTGACAGGTTCTAGGTGTGGTATTGAGCATGCAGCGTGAAGCTGAGGTGACAGGTTCTAGGTGAGGTATTGAGCATGCAGCATGAAGCTGAGGTGACAGGTTCTAGGTGAGGTATTGAGCATGCAGCGTGAAGAAGAGGTGACAGGTTCTAGGTGTGGTATTGAGCATGCAGCATGAAGCTGAGGTGACAGGTTCTAGGTGAGGTATTGAGCATGCAGCGTGAAGAAGAGGTGACAGGTTCTAGGTGTGGTATTGAGCAGGCAACCGGAAGTAGAGGTGACAGGTTCTACGTGTGGTATTGAGCAGCAGGAAGCAGAGGTTACAGGTTCTAGGTGTGGTATTGAGCAAGCAGCGTGAAGCAGAGGTTACAGGTTCTAGGTGTGGTATTGAGCAAGCAGCGTGAAGCAGAGGTGACATGTTCTAGGTGTGCGATTGAGCAGATAGCAGGAAGCAGAGGTGACAGGTTCCACGTGTGATAATGAGCAGGCATTAGGAAGCAGGGGTGACAGGTTCTAGGTGTGGTATTGAGCATTGTGAAGGCGAGGTCAGAGGTTCTAGGTGTGGTATTGAGCAGTGTGAATCAGAGGTGAGATGTTCTAGGTGTGGTATTGATCAATGTGAAACAGAGGTTTTAGGTGTGGTATTGAGCAATGTGAAACAGAGGTTCTAGGTGTGGTATTGATCAATGTGAAACAGAGGTTCTAGGTGTGGTATTGATCAATGTGAAACAGAGGTTCTAGGTGTGGTATTGAGTATTCTGAAGCATACACTACCTGTCAAAAGTTTTAGAACACCTACTCATTCAAGGGTTTTTCTTTATTTTTACTATTTTCTACATTGTTGAAAAATAGTGAAGACATCAAAAATGAAATAACACATATGGAATCATTTAGTAACCAAAAAGTGTTAAAGAAATCAAAATATATTTTTAATTTGATATTCTTCAAATAGCCACCCTTTGCCTTGATTACAGCTTTGCACACTCATGGCATTCTCTCAATCAGCTTCACCTGGAATGCTTTTCCAACAGTCTTGAAGGAGTTCCCACATATGCTGAGCACTTGTTGGCTTCTTTTCCTTCACTCTGCGGTCCAACTTATCCCAAACCATCTCAATTTGGTTGAGGTCTTTGGAGGCCAGGTCATCTGATGCAGCACTCCATCACTCTCCTTCTTGGTCAAATAGCCCTTATACAGCCTGGAGGTGTGTTGGGACATTGTCCTGTTGAAAAACGAATGATAGTCCCACAAAGCCTAAACCAGATGGGATGGCGTATCACTGCAGAATGCTGTGGTAGCCGTGCTGGTTAAGTGTGCCTTGAATTCTAAATAAATCACATACAGTGTCACCAGAAAAGCACCCCCACACCATAACACCTCCTCCTCCATGTTTTACGTGGGAACTACACATGCAGAGATCATCCATTCACCCACACCGCGTCTCACAAAGACACAGCGGTTGGAACCAAAAATCTCCAATTTGGACTTCAGACCAAAGGACAAATTTCCACAGGTCTAATGTCCATTGCTCGTGTTTCTTGGCCCAAGCAAGTCTCTTCTTCCTATTGGTGTCCTTTAGTAGTGGTTTCTTTGCAGCAATTTGACCGTGAAGGCCTGATTCACACAGTCTCCTCTGAACAGTTGATGTTGAGATGTGTCTGTTACTTGAACTCTGTGAATCATTTATTTGGGCTGCAATTTCTGAGGCTGGTAACTCTAATGAACTTATCCTCTGCAGCAAAGGTAACTCTGGGTCTTCCATTCCTGTGGCGGTCCTCATGAGAGCCAGTTTCATCATAGCGCTTGATGGTTTTTGAGACAGCACTTGAAGAAACTTTCAAAGTTATTGAAATGTTCCGTATTGACTGACCTTCATGTCTTAAAGTAATGATGGACTGTCGTTTCTCTTTGCTTATTTGAGCTGTTCTTGCCATAATATGGACTTGGTCTTTTACCAAATAGGGCTATCTTCAGTATACCCCCTTTTCCAAGCTTAAAAGGATGAACATTCAACATGCTGTCAATCCAGCTTTCAAAACAACTGGAAACTCGGAACTGGGAAATCTCAGACTTCAGTGAGTTCAATACAACTGGGAACTCGGGGAAAAAAAGAGCTCAGACTGGGAAAATAAGTTTTGAACGGTCATCCAACTACGAATTCCAAGTCGGGAACTCAGGCCTCTTTCTAGAGCTCCGACCTGAAGATCACCTTGTTTTTTTCAGAGTTCCCAGTTGTCTTGAAAGCACCATAAATCCAGAGAATGCCAGACTTTGATGACAAAGTTTCATGACAAAATTTGCCCACGAAGGACCGCCGCGCCACTTTCCTGTTCAAGTGAGCACAGCACAACAAGGTGAGTCCAAAAATGTATTGTATGCTGCTGCATAAATGATGTAATATGCCAGGGATATATGTATACTGTAGCTAAGAAAGTAATACTAAGTGTATGTTGTGTAGTAAGCTGTTAGTAGCCCATGTGCCTCACCCTAATAATTCGGCCCCTTTCCCCCTCATAATTTAGCCTACTGTTCTGACTTGGTGGTGCACATGTAGCCTATAGCCTGTTTTAGAGAAATGTCATCATAGAATATTGAGCTTTCATTGTCTGCTTATATTCCCCCTTTATTTATCCTACGGTTCTGACATGGTGTACAGGGAGAATACTGTAAGAACGGCCCATGTTCTGAATTCTGTCGTTAGCTCGCTCATTAATGTCTTCATCGAAATGACGGATTGCCTCTTATCCGCTCGTCGTTCCCTTATGCCATAGTTTGTACATCTCAATTGTCAGTAGAAACCACATTTGTTTAAGCAAGTCAGCCATATCAGCTATGTTTTATTAAAAGGCAGTAAATGAGGCTGAATGAACTGTTTCACTGCCAGACAAGACTCCGCTGATAGCCAGGTGTAGCAGTGGTAAGGTGTTGGGACTGCTGTTGGGACAGCTTTATGTAGGCCCTAACAGTTTGAGGGCACCGTTTATCACCGTTATAGTCCGATTAATGTATTTTTTAGTGTTGTGTAGTGGCTTTGCTGGCATGCATCAAAACATTATTTTGTTGAGTTTGCCCCACCAAGATATACATAATAAAATCGCCACTGCACCTGTGACACTTTCAATATTATAATTGTTGAAGATTTAGATGTAGGCTATTTACGTTCCAGATGTAATGTGCATATGGCCCCTGATTTATAGTGTGTGTACTATGTCATCAGAAGGTGTGGTGCACGGTGGCAGTCGTCCAAATCAATTATTCCGCTTCCACCCTCAATTACGTATCACTCATCAGACGTGTGAAAAGGCATAAACCTCACTGTGCTCTCCTGGTACCTTCAGATGCATCACACACCACATGGACTGTGGGACACAGCCTGTCACAAATGGCACCCTTTTCCTTATTTAGTGCTTATTTAGCCCGATAGGCTCTGGTCAAAAAAGTAGTGCACTTTAAAAGGGAATAGGGTTCCATTTGGGACACAACACCTGTCTGTCTGGAAGGACGTTGCATGTGCCTCCTGTTGTCTGTATTGGGACCTTGGTGTTGTGCTGTATCTCCCCCCACAGCAGACAGAGTGCGGTTAAATACTTTATTACACCCATTTCCCCTCTGAAAATAACACATCTTCAGAAACCTACTATCAAAAAGTTCATCTCTATCTGCCATTCCTACTTATTGGTATGTATAATTACCTCTACCTGCCTAACTGTACCTTCACCTGCATAGACGTGGGTGGTGTATAATGTAGAGAGAAATATATAACTCTTTAACTATTATTGAAACTCCCCTGATTGGCTTTAGAGCTGAAACCAGTCTGTTGTCTCTCCCTCCGGCACACCTGGCGCCGCTCTGGAGGTGAGAGCTTCGCCACCTCAGGTGTGGAGACATTGTCGCTTCTTTTCTGTCACCCCCCCCTTTTCCAAAACAACACGAGTGTTCTGTAAACAAACTGTGAATTACAACAAGAAGAACTGAAGTTTGGTAGAAAATTGAAAGTTCTTCCAACGTTCATGGATGTGTGACTCTGTCCTAATATGGACACCGTACATCTGAAATGTTGTATTATAAGGAGCAGGATACCTTCTGTCAAGGCTTGTCTTTCTTTACTGTCATTATCTTTTACCTAGACAGGGGAAGAGCCGTGCCAAGAAACCCTGTGGCCTCTCTGACACATCTGTCTTGGGGAACCTGTCATAAGGTGGGGAGGTCAACCGGGAGAACACCCTGGACCAGACCGGGAGTCTCAGAGTCCGCCTCTCCCCGCTGTCCAACCTGTAGCGGAGACGCCTCAGTCTGGAACGGAAGGAGGACCTGAAAGAGACCCTCCTCACCCTCCCTTGGGATTGGGAATGTTGGAATGGGAACATTTGGAAGTTACTGGAAGTCTGAGTCCCGATGGTGCTCCCATGTTGTAGATGTCTCCTCCCAGTTGGACCCTGATGGGAGCTGTGTCCTCCATCCTGGGTCAGCAGACTGGCCTCTGGCCATCCTCAGGTCTCCAGTCTCACAGGTGACGATGGATGCAGGGGAAATAGATTAACTGCTCTGAAGTATTGCTGCAATCTGGGTTGTAGATTGGGTAGATGGAAGGGAAAAGAGGGTTGGGTAGATGGACGGGAAAGAGATGAGGAGGGGGATAAGAGAGGAGAGAGAGAGAGAGAGGTTGAAGGAAGAGAGTGTGGAAGAGGGAGAAGAGAGAGGTTGGAGGGGAGAAGGGGAAAGAGGAGAGAGAGAGTGAGAGGAGAGGGGAAGGGAGAGAGAGAGAGGGGGAAGTGGAAAGAGGAGAGAGAGAGAGAAGGTTGAAGGGAAAGAGAGAGAAGGTGGGAAAGAGAGAGTTTTCCACTTGTTTATTGTCTGGATGTAATTCTGGTGATCTGCGCTCTGTTTTCTGTCCTCCATCAGAGCTCAATACATAGATTTAATGCAAGACACACTACACTACTGTCCCTCCTTAACCCCATCAAATGATATGAAGGTATACAATTACGGAAGTGATCAAGCAAATCCATTTTTTACAAAAATACTTTCTAAAGAGACAAAACCATTACAAGGACATCATACAGGCAGTAGTGATGCTGATGCAGTCTGGGCTGTCAGCAGTAGTGATGCTGATGCAGTCTGGGCTTTCTGCTGGCTCCTGAGGGCTTGCTGGTGCAGATGGCGGTGGAACCGAGTCCAGCACTCCAGAATTCTCCTCTCCACAAGATGAATGGTTTGGCTCCTGACGCTCCACCACCGGCTGCACACATAATGGACACACTACTCAACACACCAACCCCCAACACCATGGAGAGGGCCAGACACTCACCACTCAACACACCAACCCCCAACGCCATGGAGAGGGCCAGACACTCACTCCTCAACACACCAACCCCCAACACCATGGAGAGGGCCAGACACTCACTCCTCAACACACCAACCCCCAACACCATGGAGAGGGCCAGACACTCACTACTCAACACACCAACCCCCAACACCATGGACAGGGCCAGACACTCACCACTCAACACACCAACCCCCAATACCATTCTATTCTATCCTAGAACTGCTGTCATGTTCCTCCCTTAAAGGACTGCCCTGAACAGAAGGTGGTGAGCAGTGTGTGTCACTCTTGGTGCAGATGGAGGAGGGTTGGAAGTGGAAGTGGGATTGGGAGTGAGGCTGGATGAGGGAGTGGGGGGGGAAGGTTGGAGGGCTGGGAGAGGCTTGGGGAGTAGGAGGGAAGGTTGGAGGGCTGGGAGAGGCTTGGGGAGTAGGAGGGAAGGTTGGAGGGCTGGGAGAGGCTTGTGGAGCAGGAGGGAAGGTTGGAGGGCTGGGAGAGGCTTGTGGAGTGGGAGAGAAGGGTGCAGGGTTGTGAGTGGGAGAGGGAGAGGGAGAGTGATTTGGAGTGGATCTGGGGTGAGGAGGTTGGGAGTGGGTCTGGGGAGGTTGGAGGTCGGGAGTCTGGTGAGGGTTGGGAGTGGTCTGGGTGAGGGGTTGGGAGTGGGTCTGGGTGAGGGGTTGGGAGTGGTTCTGGGTGAGGGGTTTGGGAGTGGTTCTGGGTGAGGGGTTGGGAGTGGTCTGGGTGAGGGGTTGGGAGTGGGTCTGGGTGAGGGGTTGGGAGTGGGTCTGGGTGAGGGGTTGGGAGTGGTTCTGGGTGAGGGGTTGGGAGTGGGTCTGGGTGAGGGTTGGGAGTGGTTCTGGGTGAGGGGTTGGGAGTGGGTCTGGGTGAGGGTTGGGAGTGGGTCTGGGTGAGGGGTGGTCTGGTGAGGGGTTGGAGTGGGTCGGGTGAGGGGTTTGAGTGTTCTGGGTGAAGGGGTTGGGAGTTGGGTCTGGGTGAGGGGTTGGGAGTGGTTCTGGGTGAGGGGTTGGGAGTGGGGTCTGGGTGAGGGGTTGGAGTGGTTTCTGGGTGAGGTTTGAGTGGGGTCTGGGAGGGAAGGCTGCTATGCTCTCTGTACAGCCTGAAAGACACTTCCACATGCCCACGCTTCTTTGGCTTCTTCCTCGGCACAGAATTGAGGACAAACCATCTGCAAAAAAACAAACGCGTTTCTTGCTCTTCATTTGTGAGTAGTTCACAGATCACAGCTTTAAATGTATGTTTGCATGAGCTATAGAAATATGATCTCTACAGTATACAATATGCCACCAGATGGGGTACATCATATACATTACATCATGTACATTACATTTGATACATTACTGGTCCTCTGTAGCTCAGTTGGTAGAGCATGGCTCTCAGGATAGTGGGTTCGATTACCAGGACAACCCATACGTAAACAATGTATTCACGCATGACTGTAAGTTGCTTTGGATGAAAGAGTCTGCTAAATGGCATATACAGTGGGCTCCAAAATTACTGGCACCCCTGACTGGCAATGCACAAACAATACTTTAAACAATATAATTATAGAGATAAACTCAAAATACCAACATGTGAGAAATACTGTACTATATTAATGTTCCAATGGAACCCACCAAAATCATTTATTGATTTAATTAAAAATCAATGTCCTCCAAATCAAGGTTTCACAATTAATGGCACCCTTAAAGATTATTGTAAATAAATCTACCAAAATTAAACCAGGAATTAAATTCCACTTATTTAAGTTGATCTAAGTCTTAAGGAACTGTATTGAGCCATTACATCACTTCCTGTTTCACTAGGGTATAAAAATGAGGTAACACGCATGCAATATGGACTCGGGCTCCCGAGTGGCGCAGCGGTCTAAGGCACTGCATCTCAGTGCTTGAGGCGTCACTACAGACCGAGTGGCGCAGCGGTCTAAGGCACTGCATCTCAGTGCTTGAGGCGTCACTACAGACCCCCTGGTTCGATTCCAGGCTGTATCACAACCGGCCGTGATTGGGAGTCCCATAGGGCGGCGCACAATTGGCCCAGCGTCGTCCGGGTTTGGCCGGTGTAGGCCGTCATTGTAAATAAGAATTTGTTCTTAACTGACTTGCCTAGTTAAATAAAGGTAAAATAAAAATAAATAAATAAAAATATCCCTTTGTCATCCAACACCATGAAGAAAACAAAAGAACTGGCAGTTCAAAAGAGATAGATGATTGTAGACCTTCATAAATCTGGTAATGGCTACAAGAAGATCCACAAACGATTGAATATAGCACTGTCAGGGCAGTTATTTAAAAAATGTATAAGATATGGAACAGTTGGAAACCTCACAGATAGAGGACGCAGATGCATTTTGCCCCCCAGGATAGGGAGGAGGATGGTGAGAGAAGCAACAAAATCCCCAAGAATCACTGTGAAAGAATTGCAGGCCTTGGTGGCGTCTTGGGGTCACCAGGTTTCAAAAAGCACCATCAGACGCCACCTCCACAACCACAGGCTCTTTGGAAGGGTTGCCAGAAAAAAGCCCTTTCTGACCCCAAGACACAGATGCAAGTGCTTGGAGTTTGCCAAACGTCATTTAAATTATGACTGGAAGAAGGTGCTCTGGTCAGATGAGACCACAATTGAATGTTTTGGTCAGATACAGCATCGGCATGTTTGGCGTCGAAACAGAGATGCATACATGGAGAGGCACCTCATACCCACGGTGAAATATGGTGGTGGGTCAGTGATGTATTGGGGCTGTTTTAATTCCAGAGGTCCAGGGGCACTGGTTAAGATTAATGGCATAATGAATTCCACCAAGTATCAGGCAATTTTGGCTGACAATCTGGTTGCCTCTGCCAGAAGGCTGGGAGTTGGCCGTAGGTGGACTTTCCAACAAGATAATGACCCAAAACATACCTCAAGATCCACACAGAAATGGTTCTGTGACTACAAAATCAATGTTCTGCCATGGCCATCTCAGTCACCGGACCTCAATCCAATCGAAAATCTGTGGGCTGAGTTGAAGAGGGCAGTTGATAAGCGCAAGAATGTGAAGGATCTTGAAAGGATCTGCATAGAGGAATGGTCCAAAATCCCTCCAAATGTGTTCCTTAACCTTGTCAAACATTACAGGAAAAGACTCCATGCTGTTATCCCTGCCAGAGGTGGTTGCACTAAGTACTAAATGAGGAGTGCCAATAATTATGAAACCTTGATTTTGGTGACATTTATTTTGTATTAAATAATTGTATGATTTTGGTAGGTTCCATTGAAACATTAATATAGTACAGTATTTCTCACATGTTGGTATTTTGAGTTTATCTGTATAATTATATTGTTTATGTTTTTTTAAAGTATTGTTTGTGCATTGCCAGTCAGGGGTGCCAGTAATTTTGGAGCCCACTGTATTTACATGACATTAGTGGAAATCAGTTTTCCTCAACTCACTCTTTGTTCCCGTCCTGCTTCTTGATAACATCCTCCAGCCTGAATCTCACAGTACCCAGGAACCTATCAGGCAGGGCCAGCAGTGTGCGTCGGTGGCGGATGGTCAGGGTCAGGGCTTCGGTGGTGCCATCCCGGGGGGCCGAGGAGGGCAGGGGGAAGGTGAGCTCACAGTTCCAGCGGGGGGTCAGGGTACCGTGGATGACAGGGGTGGTGATTCTCCTTTTTCCCCAGCTGGAGGATAGCGTAAGGGTTGCTGCCCCCACGGAAGGTCTTAGCTCTGAGGCCAGTGGCTCTCCACACAGTCACTGCCAGGTGGGAGGGGGGACCTTCACTGTACCCTGAAGTCACTGCCAGATTGGCCTGTGCACTACTATCCTCACTCTCCACAACAGGGCCTGATGACATCCTGCAGGGGATGAGGGTTAGAGTTAGGCTCAGTAACCCTACTGTGTGGACAGTATCTTATAACACATCATTCCAAATTGTGAATCAATCTGTGTTATTATTCTGTCTAGTCTTAGTTCTGTTTTCATTCCTGTGTTTGGCTCCCACATCAGCCGATGCTGAATGACTCTGGAACTATAATTATCAGTAATTATCAGGAGTTAGTGATGTCATAATGGATGTTCTTAAGAAGGAAGATTCTCTATGGTTCTACCCGAGGTTTAACATTCTGTGTTCAGTGTGTAATAGGGATTTTAATAGCTGTCTGTTCTCATACACACCATCCCAAGCCTGAAATATTTTTAATCGATAGATAACAATCTCCAGCTCTTGTGAGTTTTGGTTAACCAGTTGCCACAACATTGTCTTGAACAACCTCTGAAAACATCACTTCAAAATCACCTGCTGATTGAAATATGATTTCAAGAAATGAGGTTGTAACGTGTAAACAGTAATTAGTCATACCAGTTTCATGTCCATCTGTCTCTTAGCTAAATGATGTAGCCACAAAGTAGAAAGTTAAACCTCACACTGCATCACATGAATACACTAATTCAGGGTTCTTCAATTCCGGTCCTGGAGGGCCGAAACACCTCTGTTTTTCATCCTCTCCTTCTAATCAGGGGCTAATTCAGACCTGGGACACCAGGTGAGTGCAATTAACTACCAGGTAGAAATAAAAAAACAGAAGTGTTTCGGCCCTCCAGGACCGGAATTGAAGAACCCTGCACTAATTGGTTGCTAGTGAAGCTGTTGAAAGAACAAGGCATTTTGGATACAACAGACGGGAAAGAGCAGAAAACCTTCCATCCTGTGTCACATTGTTTGAAAATCTACTGTAGATTTGATAATAGTTCAGTGGTTGTGTTTATGTGTTAATAAACACCTATGCTGGCCAGGCACTGCAATATTGCACACCTGATGCCCTTCCCAATCCTCCCGTATAAATGTGTCTTTGTCAGTGTGATCTTCTAGTAGTAGTTGGCTCTGTATGTGTGACCAAACCCACCCACCCCCCACCCCCTCCCCTCCTGTCCCAGTCCTAATCTTGGAGCAGAACCCTGCCAAGCCAGGACACCGGAAGAACACTGGTCCGTTGTGGTTGGATGATGCTCAATGCTCAGATTTCAGAGCGCCACAGTAAGAAGAAAAGCGAAATGAGCGTTTAGGCGCTAGTGTGAACTGCCTTTCGCACCAGACAGATTTCCGTCTCCCCATTATGGTTCCAGCTAACGTTCTTAGTGCTGATTCTCTCAGCGCGTTGTGTGGATTGCACATGCTCCCCCCGTCTAATGAGGCAGCATTAGCCAGAGAGAAGCAGTAATTAGACCAAGCGTCAGAGACGATGGAGTCACGGACAGATGGCATGCAAAGACAAGTCTCTCTTCTATCTCCCTACCCCTTCTCCTCAGACTTCTTGTCCCACTCTCGGAGGGGAGACAGACGTGTCGCTTGTCATTCTAACCTACAGTTTGTCATCTGTTGATAGTAATGTAAGGATGTATGATGAGATGGTATGTGAGCAATTACACGCTTGTCTTGTCTGTACTTTTATATGCTTAGCCTGTTCAAGAAGACTGCAGAATGTGTCAGGTATAGGCCTGTAGAAAATATAATTATAATGGTTTACTTCTTAGCCCTGTTGTTTTTATTAGGGTGCAGTCTGGAAATGCATCATTTATAGCCATAGTGAGGTGTTGATTGGAAGCGATCAAACACGACTTTGAGAATACATGTATCAGTAGCCTAAAACTCCAATATGTTTTTTCTCAGGTGTTATTGACACTGATTCCTTAATTAACGGAGTATCAGTTGTGATTCTAGGTTTCTTCACCAGTTCTGTTCAGAAAGTCTCAGTAATAATATATGCTCTGTGACAGTGCCTGTCCTCACCTGACACTACTGAACCCTGTTAGAGTCTCTAGTTTTGACTGTACATAATGAGCCAACCCGGGTGTTGCGTCCCAAAATGGCACCATATTCACAGGGCCCTGGTCAAAAGTAGTGCACTACGTAGGGAATAGGGTGCCTTTTGGGACGCACCCCGGGACTCTGTCACACTTTAACGTGTGTTTTATTAGTGTATTGTTTATGGTAATTTATAGTTCATGTATTCAAATATTTCAACGTGTTCTGAGTTTGCCCCGTAGCACATTGAGTTAATTAGACTATTCAGAATTGTTTTGGAGAAAAGAAGTGAGTGGAATGTTGTTGACAGCCAATCAACATTTCACTTCGGGTACACAACAGTGTAAATAGTATGACAAATGTATGTATGACAAAATATTACAAGCTATGCATTTTGATTGCATCATTATCATGTCATTGGGGATTCATGAGAATCACACCAATAACAAAACTACTTGAACTTCCGTAGAAGACATTTACTTTCTTCGATAAAACTATTTGTACTGATGATTAAAAAAAGGTCATATCAATGTCTAATGTACAGAGCTGTATATGACTTTAATAACTCTAACCTTACCTTCATGTCCAAACCCCAGCTCAACCCCAACCTTAGCCATTACCCTAACACCAACCCTAACACTGAGACTGAAACTGTAATAAGTTATTTGTTTATGTGGAATTCTGATGTATATAGCTCCTGCACCTGGTCGCCCTAGTTGTCCCATTTACATTACATTACATTTACGTCATTTAGCAGACGCTCTTATCCAGAGCGACTTACAAATTGGTACATTCACCTTATAGCCAGTGGGACAACCACTTTACAATATGTTTGATTTTTCTATTTTTTTTCTTTCTTTTTTTTTCTTTGGGGTGGGCTAAGGGGGGGTAGAAGGATTACTTTATCAAATCCCAGGTATTCCTTAAAGAGGTGCGGTTTCAAGTGTCTCCGGAAGGTGGTGAGTGACTCCGCTGTCCTGGCGTCGTGAGGGAGCTTGTTCCACCATTGGGGTGCCAGAGCAGCGAACAGTTTTGACTGGGCTGAGCGGGAACTGTGCTTCCGCAGAGGTAGGGGGGCCAGCAGGCCAGAGGTGGATGAACGCAATGCCCTCGTTTGGGTGTAGGGACTGATCAGAGCCTGAAGGGTACGGAGGTGCCGTTCCCCTCACAGCTCCATAGGCAAGCACCATGGTCTTGTAGCAGATGCGAGCTTCAACTGGAAGCCAGTGGAGTGTGCGGAGGAGCGGGGTGACGTGAGAGAACTTGGGAAGGTTGAACACCAGACGGGCTGCGGCATTCTTGATGAGTTGTAGGGGTTTAATGGCACAGGCAGGGAGCCCAGCCAACAGCGAGTTGCAGTAATCCAGACGGGAGATGACAAGTGCCTGGATTAGGACCTGTACCGCTTCCTGTGTAAGGCAGGGTCGTACTCTCTGAATGTTGTAGAGCATGAACCTACAGGATCGGTTCACCGCCTTGATGTTAGCGGAGAACGACAGGGTGTTGTCCAGGGTCACGCCAAGGCTCTTTGCACTCTGGGAGGAGGATCCCCATCTCAGGGGTGCAACTGGTCCCCCTAGCTGTCCCTGTCTCAGGGGTGCACCTGGTCCCCCTAGCTGTCCCAGTCTCAGGGGTGCACCTGGTCCCCCTAGCTGTCCCAGTCTCAGGGGTGCACCTGGTCCCCCTAGCTGTCCCCGTCTCAGGGGTGCAACTGGTCCCCCTAGCTGTCCCCGTCTCAGGGGTGCACCTGGTCCCCCTAGCTGTCCCCGTCTCAGGGGTGCAACTGGTCCCCGTAGCTGTCTCAGGGGTGCACCTGGTCCCCCTAGCTGTCCCAGTCTCAGGGGTGCAGCTGGTCCCCCTAGCTGTCCCCGTCTCAGGGGTGCACCTGGTCCCCCTAGCTGTCCCAGTCTCAGGGGTGCACCTGGTCCCCCTAGCTGTCCCCGTCTCAGGGGTGCACCTGGTCCCCCTAGCTGTCCCTGTCTCAGGGGTGCACCTGGTCCCCCTAGCTGTCCCAGTCTCAGGGGTGCACCTGGTCCCCCTAGCTGTCCCCGTCTCAGGGGTGCACCTGGTCCCCCTAGCTGTCCCAGTCTCAGGGCTACACCTGGTCCCCCTAGCTGTTCCCGTCTCAGGGGTGCACCTGGTCCCCCTAGCTGTCCCAGTCTCAGGGCTACACCTGGTCCCCCTAGCTGTCCCAGTCTCTGTCTGTCTGAGCATTCATTTAATATCCAACAACAACAAAATTAGCCTATTTATTTACATAATTTAGCAGACACTTTAATTTTTTTTATTTTTTATTTCACCTTTATTTAACCAGGTAAGCCAGTTGAGAACAAGTTCTCATTTACAATTGCAACCTGGCCAAGATAAAGCAAAGCAGTGCGATAAAAACAACAACACAGAATTATATATGGGGTAAAACAAAACATAAAGTCATAAATACCACAGAAAATATATATACAGTGTGTGCAAATGTAACAAGTTATGGAGGTAAGGCAATTAATAGGCCATAGTGCAAAATAATTACAATTAGTATTAAAACTGGAATGATAGATGTGCAAGAGATGATGTGCAAATAGAGATACTGGGGTGCAAATAAGCAAAATAAATAACAATATGGGGATGAGGTCGTTGAGTGGGCTAATTTCAGAAGGGCTGTGTACAGGTGCAGTGATCGGTAAGGTGCTCTGACAACTGATGATTAAAGTTAGTGAGGAGATAAGAGTCTCCAGCTTCAGAGTTTTTTGCAGTTCGTTCCAGTCATTGGCAGCAGAGAACTGGAAGGAATGGCGGCCAAAGGAGGTGTTGGCTTTGGGGATGACCAGTGAGATATACCTGCTGGAGCGCATACTACGGGTGGGTGTTGCTATGGTGACCAATGAGCTATGATAAGGTAGAGATTTGCCTAGCAGTGATTTATAGATGGCCTGGAGCAAGTGGGTTTGGTGACGAATATGTAGTGAGGACCAGCCAACAAGAGTGTACAGGTCACAATGGTGGGTAGTATATGGGGCTTTGGTGACAAAACGGATGGCACTGTGATAGACTACATCCAA